AAAGAAAAAATAACAATTAGAAAAATATAATAAAAGGCTTGTTGGCCAGTTTTCAGTGCCAATATTTGAGGTGTGTAGTCAGTCATAAATACAAAGTGACTAGAAGTAATGATGAGGAAGTATTATCATCCAACTATTACTTCTACTGGTTGAAAGCTAATGAAAGCTAGGTCCCTGGTAGGCATCTGGGTGTAAGCAATGGATGAAAACTGGCTGAAATGGATGAAAAATGGATGAAATGAATATTTAAAAAGTCATATTGCAATTTTTATAACTTCATAGTTCTGTTGATGTTTGACTCTGTGTCCATCTCAAATAAGACAATGAAATAGTCTTTCCACACCTAAGAATTTCTTCTCAATAGTCCAGCACCAAAAAACTAAATCATGTGTCAAAGCACTCTGTTTACTGCATTTTAAACTTAGATCTAAATTCAGTTAAGAAATCAGTAAAATAAAATGAGAACATATTAAGTTATTACTTCACAGTTCACAAGGACCTTTATTGTTAAGATCATTCAAATATGAAACTCGAGGGCATAGCTATTTTCCCTTAACATATGCCATGTGAAAATTAAAAAATTACTGTATAACTTTAGCAATTACATAGGTGAAAGCAGTATGAATGGAATTAATATTTAAATAAATCCTGCAAAGGCCCAGGAAAGACCAATTCTGTTGTTTGGCAGGGAAATAAAAACTATCACAATCACTTTGATATTCAACCAAAAGAACATGACTTTTTAAGATGTGATCAAATGAAAATACTGACCCTTTTTATTTATTTATTTATTTGTTTATTTATTTATTTATTTTTGTTGGTATTCATTTTTTAAAAAAATTTTTATTGATTATGCTGTTACAGTTGTTCTATTTCCCCCCTTCATTCCCCTCCACCCTACCCCCCGTCCCCACCATTACCCCCCCTTTAGTTTATGACCATGTGTCTCAAGTTCTTTAGATTCTGTATTTCCCATGCTATTCTTGCCCCCCCATCTATTTTCTATCTACTGTCTATGCTACTTATTTTCTGTACCTTCTCCCCCTTCTCCTCCTCCCACTCCCCTGTTGCTAACCCTCCTTGAGATCTTCATTTCTATGTTTCCACTCCTGATCTAGCTGTCCTTTTAGTTTGCTTTTGTTTTAGGTGTGGTTGTTAATAACTGTGAGTTTGTTGTCCTTTCACTGTTCATGTTTCTTTAACTTCTTTTACTTAGATAAGTCCCTTTAACATTTCATATAATAAGGGCTTGGTGATGATGAACTCCTTGAATTTGATCTTATCTGAGAAGCACTTTATCTGTCCTTCCATTCTAAATGAAAGTTTTGCTGGATAGAGCAATCTTGGTTGTAGGTCTTTGGATTTCATGACTTGGAATACCTCTTTCCAGCCCCTTCTTGCCTGTAAGGTCTCTTTTGAGAAATCCGCTGACAGTCTGATGGGGACTCCTTTGTAGGTGACTGTCCCCTTAGCTCTTACTGCTTCTAGGATTCTCTCCTTCATTTTAATTTTAGCTAATATAATGATGATGTGCCTTGGTGTATTCCTTCTTGGGTCCAACTTCTTTGGTATTCTCTGAGCTTCCTGGATTTCCTGGAAGTCTATTTCCTTTGCCAGTTTGGGGAAATTCTCCTTTATTATTTGTTCAAATAAGTTTTCCACTGGTGGCTGTGCCTTTCCCCCTTCTGGTACCCCTATAATTCGGATGTTGGAGCGTTTAAAGATGTCCTGGAGGTTCCTAAGACTCTCCTCATTTCTTTGAATTCTTGCTTCTTCACTCTTTTCTGTTTGTCCATTATTTGCTTTCTTCTGGTCCACTCCATTGATTTGAGTCCCAGTTTCCTTTTCATTGCTATTGGTTTCCTGTGTAATTCCATTCATTTCAATTAGTTTTGCCTTCATATATTTGTCTAATTTGTGGCTATAATCAACCAGTTCTGTGAGGATCCTGATCACCAGTGTTTTAAACTGTGCATCTGAGAGTTTTGCTATTTCTTCATCACTTAGATTTATAGGCTCTGGGGCTTTGAGATCTTCTTGAGCCACTTTTGTTCTGTTCGTGCCCTGTAAGTGTGAGGAAGGGAGCCTTGGACTCCCAGGTCACTGGGTTGTGATGCTGTATGTGGGGGCGTGGTCAGAGTGAGGAAATGGCAGCACCCTCTGCTGTTTTGCACTGCTGGGTGAGGAGCAGAGCTTTAGGTGGTTCACCAGGGCTGGGCCACTCAGAGTTGCTGGTTTATGACGCTGTATGTGGAGGTGGGGTCACAGCAGGGAAATGGCAGCGCCTCCACTGCCGCTTGCCGCGGGGACCCGCTGGGTCCCGGTTCAATCACCCACTCCCTCGCTTGTCTATCCGCGCACAAATGTGCGACCACAGTCAACCCGCAGCAGCCCTGCTCCCTCGCAGTTTCCCCACGGTCGCTCGCTTGGTCGCTAGCTCTGTCGCTCACTAGGTCCAACCCTGTGCCTGGATTCTGTGTGCGTGAGTCCGTCTGACCGAGTTTTCCTGTGCAACCCTGCTCCACCAGCTGCTGGTTTTGCCCCTTACCAATCAGACTGAAGAATTTGTTGTTAACAGACTTCCGAAAAGTTCAATTTTCTGTGTTCTGGCTGTGTTTTATATTGCTAAAATTTAGTTGTCTCTAAACTTGGTTGTGTGAGAAGGCACGGATATCCACCTATGCCTCCATCTTGGTGGAAGTCAATACTGACCCTTTTTATAGACCATATTATAACATAATAGTTCTTTGCAAGGATCCTTTTATACCAGGAGATGAAAGACACAATGTCAAAGCAAGGGCACAAAAGCCCAGGATGCCCATGTGAAAAACTAAGAAGTAAAAGTACGTTAAAGAAACTTTAGTGGAGATTAGACATGCAGAATGGAACTGCAACAACAAAGGTTTTGACATCAGTGTACAAAGGCTGTTATGTAAACCAAAACAATATGACAAAAAGAATTGTGAAAATACAGTTGAAGAAATTGTTTGGATAAAGAAGTGACATAAGAGGAATTTCAACAGTAAAGTCAAAGTTGCAGAAAGTTGGAACAAAGAATTAAATGAATGCAAGCACTATTCTCCTACTATATCCCAACAGAACTATTTTAAAGCCCTGGCTGGGTGGCTCAGATGGTTGGAGCATCCTCCCATACACCAAAAGGTTGTGAGTTCCATTCCTGGTCAGGGAATGTACCGAGGTTTGATCCCCAGGTGGGGCGCATATGGGAGGCCATGCATTGATATTTCTCTCACATGAATCTCTGTCTGTCTGTCTGTCTGTCTGTCTGTCATGCTGCCTCCCTCTCTCTTTAAAATCAATAAACCTATACTTAGGTGAGGATTTAAAAAAAGAAAACAAAGAAGAAAAAAGAAAAGAATGAACATTTATGAGACCCAACTCCAAAAGCATAAGAGCTAAGTGAGGAGATGAATGAGTAGCTAAAAAGAGCTGTTCAAACTGAAAAAACATAATGTTAAAGAAAAGGAGATAAACCCTACTATAAATCATGTTAAGGTTAAATTACATTTCAATGAGTTATTAAAATGCTTTGGTTAAAATAAAATATTAAGACATATAGGAAAAAAGAGGACATTAAAAGGTTTGGGTTTTTTCTAGAGATATTTTTTATAATGATATTTGTTCTGATAGGAATCGATTATACAAATGTCACAGCTGAATGAACGTCTGTGGTTTGAGAACAAGCGAACTGTCTCAGAGAATGGGAAAATAACTTTGGAGTGCAATAAAAGTCATTTTCAACATGAGTTCCTAGACCCTTCGCCAATGTGGTAATGGATGACTCATTTTAAAAGCAGTACTACAGATAGACTAATAAAAGTTGATGATTAAGCTATCCAGACAAACTGCACAGTCTGATTAAAAACTATGTATTTGTTTTTTAATTAAAACTTAGAAATCTGCTTTGCTTCCTTTATCTCTTTTTCTTGCTGCCACAAGATTTGTGTCACGGACACAGTGCTCGCTCATAAACCTCCCTGCAGGCTCCGCATTCTAGGGAAACAGGACAAGAGAAACAACAAGGCTCAAATATAGTCTTTATATACACCAATCAAGGATACAAATGTGTGGCAATAACACTCAAGCAAAAAGAAAGAAGGCAATGATAAAAACTTTAAGGATGAGGAAGGAGGCATGACTAAAGACTACATAAAATTTAGTGATTAAAAAATAATATTATAAAAAATGTAATGCTGATAAATTTGAAAACCTAAAATAGGTAAGAATTTCTTAAACTCAATACCAAATGCACAAAACATAAAAGACATTAATTTAGCTTCATTTAACTTAAAATCATCTTTTCATCAAAAGATACTAAAAGCCAAGCCATTGACTGAGGGACTGAATATAATTGAAATGTATAAAGCTGGCAATCAATCCAGAATTCACACACTCCTACAAATCAATCAAGAAAAAAAACCAGTCTATTTGAAAAATAATAAATCAATATGAACAAGCAATTAACAAAAGAGAAAACTCAAACAGCCAATAAATGTGCATTAAGCTGCTCTATCTCCTTAGTAATAACTTCACATTAATCAGATCGCCAAAATTAAAAAGCCTGACAATATCAAGTGTTGCATATCATAAAGTATGGGCCTATGAGAATCATTATAGTCTATTGATAAGAATATTAATGTTACAACAGATTTGAGGATAATTCAGCATCAACTAGTAAAGGTAAATATAGATTAATTCTACAACCTAGAAATACCACTCATAGGTATCTGTCCTAAAAAAAACCCTGGCTGAGGAGATTGTGAAGAATGCTCACTATAGCACTAAATCTTGATTGTGATTATCTGTGTGGGTGAAATAAGAGCTATGGGCTTAATAAGAGATACACAATAGCCTTCATTTTATGTGTAATGTTTTATACAGCTGAAGGTTGGGTACCTAGTTGTCTTTATGTTATAACCTATATTTTCGATGTGCCTGAAATGTTTCATAAAAATTTCTAAAAAAAATACATTACTTACCAAACTATCCACATCTATGCTGGAGTTCATAGCCCACTGCAAAGTACTCATGATATTCATGGCCAACGTTAGAATAATACCTACTCTTCCTTCTCCTTCACCTGTAATTGGAGAGAAGATATAAACAAACTTTATGTTATTTCTCTCTTGAACCCCTTTATTTATACCTCTCCCATGACATATGACGTTTAAAGTTACATTGCAATTTTGTACCAGCTTTAACAATTTTTCATCTCAGTTTACCCAGGAGCTACCACTAGTAATAATGTCCTGTATATAGCAAGTATTTAATCAATGTTTTAAATCAAAAAGTGATAGAATATTAGGAAGGAACTGCCCTTTTTAAATGCTTCAGATATTGAAGGGGCTGTTAATATTGGGTAGATATCATGTTTATCTCATCTACTATTACTCTGTAAATAATAATACCTTCAAAAACTGCAAAGGACAATGGAAAAGAAGCCCCATGTCCTGAGGAATTCCTCTACAAAGAAGTTTGATGCTGCTGAGAAGAAAATTGGACTTAAAGTTTCGCTGGGAAGTCAAAACTCATGGGTCTACCTTTTGGAAAGAGAAGACTGCCATGTATGTGAAAAACATACACAAAAACAAACTAGTTCATCCAGGATGAACAAAACTTAAGTGTTTAATTAACAGTAAATAGACTTTCAGGGCTGTAGAGAACCACTAATTAAAATCATTAATATTCAGTATTTATGGCCATAAAAATTTTCTAATACAAATGTTCTTAAATTATTACAAGTTTAGTTATAAAATCTCCATTGAGAGTCAGTCCTTGCATCTATTTGCATGATAAAATTGTCATAGGGTTCTAAAAATAGAATAATTTATCCTATAATTATCTTCTGAGATTTTATTTATTTATTTTTAGACAGAGGGAAAAGGTGGGAGAAAGAGAAGGAGAGAAACATCAATGTGTGGTTGCTTCTTGCGCAACCTGGCCTGCAACCCAGGCATGTGCCATGACCGGGAATTGAACTGGAGGCCCTTTGCTTTGCAGGCCAGTGCTTATAATTATTAGTTAATTTTTTTCCTTCCACAATTCCTCTAAGAGATGACAAAGCATGGACAGCAGGTATGTACTCTCAGTACTAAATCATTTATTCTAAACAGGTAAGATTTATGCAGGATCCCAATATATTATTCATTCTGAAGATTAAGATGAGAGTAAAATAAAATTTAATAGCAATGTAAGATTTATGTACCAGGCACTATCATAAAGTGTTATCACAAATTATTACATTTAATTCTCACAACAAACCTATGGGATAGGTACTAATATTATGTATATTTACACATGAAGAAAATGAGGGCCTTGGAGAAGTTATATAATGTGTACAAGTTAATACAGCTGAAGACCAGTACAGGCAGAGTTGATTAGCTGCATGGCCAACATTCACTCTAGCAAGGCACTGGATTTGATTGATAGGTGCTAAACTACACTGACTATTAAAGGCTTTACCTATCATCCTGGGTAAACTGGGCCTCAATCAGATCCTTAATCATTACATTAAGGATCTGACATCTGACATATTTTTTTGAATTAGTTATTAACAAATCTTTATTCATGTAATTTAGCCATCTTTGATCCTGTTTCAAAAAACTTAAGGAAAAAATGGAAAGTTATGAACCTAAAAAAAACTTTAGCTTTTAAAATGTCCAAAATTACTGTGCTGCTAAGGGTTCATTTGCCTGCTCACTTCAATTCCTTTCATGGAGTCCTTTCCCACTGCCCCATATGAGAACAATGAAGGTGGGAAAACTGCTATCCTCACAGTAACCACATGGACTACAGGTGGATCCCTGAACCCAAATGGGCCTATTTTCTGCTTCTCCCCAGGATGCTGTAAATGGATGCAGGAATTCTGTTGTTAATTCAGGGGTTTGAAAAAGATGCCACAAAAGGTTATTGTGGCATAGCCCTGGTACACCAGAAAACAGTCTTCAAAGAGAAAAATGAATGAAGCAGCTGCAGAAAGCAAGGGACATAGGCCAGCATTTGGCCTCAAGAAGAGCAAAGTCTGACTCTCCATTTCATTTCCTGTGCCTCCTGCTTTGGTGTTCCATGAGGCACTCCTGTAATTCTCCAATAGGTGCCTTGTTTTTATCTGAGCAGGATTTTAGTCTTATAACCAAACAACCCTTTGGCATTTGGCATTGACTCTGAGCCTTTGTCTATTGTCATATATAAATATATATATATATATTTATACATATATATGTATATACATATATATATCAATACTATACATAACTCAATAATTCAACTTCTTTTTTGGTGGAAATTGTATTTATTTTATTTTATCTCTTCTTTAATGTAATTAATCTTTACTGTATTGTTTCCATTACCATTTAGTTCTGGTATACCCACCTCCCCGCAGCAATCACTACACTGTTGTTCATGTCCATGAGTCCTTTTTCCTTTTTGTTCTATCCCTCCACCCCTTACCCTCCCCCCTGCTATTTACTCTCCATCTGTGTATGAATCTGTTTTGCTTGTTAGTTCAGTTTGAACATCTTAAATTAGAAAAACTTACTTGTCTATATAGATTTTTATTTTACTTATAATGAAAAATTCAGCACATCTGTATTTGAGAAATACGGTACTTTTATCTAACATTGCATAATTGTGGCAGTTTTTGTCATGCAATATTCTCATTAGAATAACAAAATTTACCATCTGGTGGTTAAAAAGAACAAAACTTACTTGGAATGAAGATTTTGTATATTCGTATGTGTGAATATGGAAATTTTTCTTCCTATTTGCAGAATTCTTTATCAGAGAGATTTTTTCCAATTACAGATTTGTTATTTTTGTCTCAGTTTTTAAACTGTGAAGTATGTATAATGCTATAGACAATTCTAATTCAAAACATTATTTGTTCAATAATAAACAATAGAAATTCAAGAAAGTAATTTGTTAAAAAGCAAACTAACAAATATTTTGATTAACAAATACCTCCCAAAAATTGATTTAAAGATATTAAAATTTTTAACCTAAAAAATGTAGCATTTTTTGGTTGACAAAACTTTCAATTAAATGTTCATAGTACCTGTTGTGAAAATGGAAATGAAAGTAACAGCAATGAAGAAGATGACAAAAATCATTTCTATTCTCATTTGAAACCATCGCAGTGTTGATAGATACAAGAACCAGTTGGCAGTATGTAAATTCAGAGCTTTGTGGAACAATGTTTCAAAGTAAGGCTGACGTCCAAAGGCACGAAGTGTCCACAGTCCTCTTAAGCTTGTAACCAGATGAGTGAATATTGGACTCCTGCCTGTAAAATATTCCCATAGAAAATAATGTAAGTCATGTAAATACAGAATGAAACCCTTATTATCATGTACCTGATAAAGATTGGTTTAAATGACAGCAAATACAATTGATTAGAGAGGTTTTAATTCTGATGCCATACATGGAATAGATGAAATTTGTTATTTTTACTTTTATTTTTAAAGATATTTTATTGATTATGCTATTACAGTTGTCCCATTTACCCCCCCCCTTTATTCCCCTCTGCCCTGCACACACCCTCCCACCCACATTCCCCCACCCTTAGTTCATGTCCATGGGTTGTACGTATAAGTTCTTTGGCTTCTACATTTCCTATTCTATTCTTAACCTCCCCCTAACTATTTTCTACCTACCATTCTCTAAGTACCTACCATGCTACCTATTCTCTGTACCTTTTCCCTCTCTCTCCCTTCTCACTTTCCCACTGATAACTCTCCATGTGATCTCCATTTCTGTGATTCTCTTCCTGTTCTAGTTGTTTGCTGAGTTTGTTTTTGTTATATTTTTAGGTTTGATTGTTAATAGCTGAAGGTTTGTTGGCATTTTATTGTTCATATTTTTTAACTTATTTTTCTTAGATAAGTCCCTTTTACATTTTATGTAATAAGGACTGGGTAATAATGAACTCCTTTAACTTGACCTTATCTGGGAAGCATTTTATCTGCCCTTCTATTCTAAATGATAGCTTTGCTGGATAACCTAAGGGCCTTTCATGACTTCGAATACTTCTTTCCAGCCCTTTCTTGCCTTCAAGGTTTCTTTTGAGAAATCAGCTAATAGTCTTAGGGAACTCCTTTATAGGTAATTGTCTCCCTTTCTCTTGCTGCCTTTAAGATTCTCTTCTTATCTTTCATCTTGGGTAATGTAATCATGATATATCTTGGTGTGTGCTTCTTTGGGTCCAACTTCTTGGGCACTCTCTGAGCTTCTTGGACTTCCTGAAAGTCTATTTTCTTTGCCAGACTAGGAAATATCTCCTTCATTATTTGTTCAAGTAAGTTTCACTTTCTTGCTCCTCCTCTTTTCCTTCTGGCACCCCCATGCTTTGGATGTTTAACTATTTAAAGATGTCCCAGAACTTCCTAACCCTCTTCTCATTATTTTAAATTCTTGTTTCTTCATTCTGTTCTAGTTGAATGTTTTTTTTTTCCTTTTGCTCCATTGATTTGAGTCCCAGTTTCCTTCCCTTTACTGTTGGTTCCCTGTATATTTTCCTTTATTTCACTTTTCATAGCCTTCAGTTTTTCCTCTAATTTGCAACCATATTCAACCAATTCTGTGAGCATTCTGAGTACCTGTATTTTGAACTGTGCATCTGATATGTTGGCTATCTCTTTGTCATTTAGTTATATTTTTTCTGAAGTTTTTATTTATTCTTTCAATTTTTTTTGTCTCTGTGTGCCTATTAAGTAGTAAGGGGTGGAGCTTTAGGTATTTGCTATGGCAGGGCAACCCTCATCCCTGCACTGTGGTGCTCTCTGTGGGGGATGGGTCTGAGAGAGAACAATACCTCTTGCTCTTCTCTCTGCTGGTTTTCAGTCACTTCTCTGGCTACTCACAATCAGATTGGGCCCTTCTGGTGCTGATTCCTGGGTGGGTGGGTTTGTTTACATTCTAGGACTCTGTGGGTTTCTCCAACAGAATCTCCTGTGACGTTAGGAGTTTCTCCTGCTGCTGAAACCCCCACAGGTTTTTACAGTCAGAGGTTTTAAGGCTTTATTTCCCTGTGCTGGAGCCCTGGGTTGTGGGTCTGTCTCGCTCCCCAGTTGTTCCTCCTGGTTTATCTGCATGCAAATGTGGGGACATCTGCTATGCCAGCTGATACCTCACCCATTCTGCCAGTCTGACTGTCTGTCTCTGCCTGTCCTACTGGTCTGGATGAGTGTTTCTTCTTTAACTCCTTGGCTGTTGGACTTCCACACAGTTTGATTTTCTGGCAGTTGTGGTTTTTGTTTTTAAATTTATTGTTGTCCTTTTGGTTGTGTGAGGAGGCACAGTGCATCTACCCATACCTCCACATTGGCCACAAATCCAGAAATTTGTTATTTTTTAATATTACCCTATTTTTTTCATTTGGCTACCATGTTGTGAACTTATAAAATTACTGCCATTATTTATTCATGTTTCTTGGCTACTACAGGGCATTGTTTTCTGGCTTATTCTAAATTAATCACTGCTGAGAGAAAATGTTTTTCTCTTAAGAAAATTTATGCAATGCCTTGATTAAGAAAATTTGTATGACTTAATTTAGCAAATGACCTCCAATGTGAAAATGCACTGAAATTTTAGCCCCTGCAAATGTACCTGCAGGAAGGCTGTTACCAAAAAATGTGCTTACAAACAGCTTGAGCAGTGTCTGGGGCACAAGAAGGCAGACCCAAGAAAGAAAGGAACAGTGTTTGAAAATAAGCCAGAAGAAAGAATTTTGTCCAGTGTCATTTGGGAACCCAGACAAACTTTTAGTGATATTAGCACCATCATTTTAAAATTTAATTTACAGGGGAAAGTTATGAATGAATATCCTATATATTAATCCTGGTAAGATTCTATGAAGCTGTTCTAAAACCAAAATGAATTCACAAAGTCTTATTTAACAAAAACAAATCTATGTGTACCTTGTAATTCACTGTTTCCTCTTACATTTATATATGTTTAAAAAGTCATTGCTATATGATGCAAAAGTTTCAAAGCAGAGAAAAAATTTTTTGAAAAGTAGCTGAATAATAGAGAATTACAGGCAGCTCTTGTGGATATTTTTTCAAGGTAAGCATTGCACATTCGGTGTCATACCTTCAGATTCCAGTTGTTTGAGTTGCTGGGAGGTGGGGAGGAAGTAGGCTCTCAGTATAATAAAAGCAGTGATCACTGGCACTGTTGCTAGGAAAATGTAGGGGTGTAAAATCGACACCACTGTTATAGCTCCGATCACAATTAATACCAACTATAGGATCAAGAAAAGACATTGTGAGTAAACATTTTCATGGTGCAAAGTGGAGAAACCAAGTCAGCAATATTATTTCTAAATAAGTTCTTCACACTCTGTTCTCAATAAGTGGCAAGCATTTTCCTACTAGAAAAGCTGTCATCTCAAAGTACTTTTTTTTTCATAAGTTCTTTGAATACTCAAAAACTTGTGTAGGTCACTCATAACACCATTTTGAAGTTTTGAAAACATGGTGATCTTGGATCTCTTAATGTTATCATTTCCTATACACCTAAAAGTGCATGAAAAATAAGTTTAAAATGGGTGATTTTTTCTAGAAATCACCTCTTTTAAAATAAACTTTTTATTTTGAGATAGTTTTAGTATGAATGTGAAATTTTAGTATTTATTTTGCTTAGATAATTTTTGAAATTTGGCCATTCATCTTGCAGCCTTTTGAGTCAGACAGACCTGGTCTAAACATGGCTTGGGCTTTTAGGCAAGCTACTTAACTTTTCTGAACCTAGTTTTCTCATGTTTAAGATTGAAAAAAAATTTAATAAATAAATGTTACTCCCCTTCCCCCAAATCCTGTTTCTGTTCCTTAAAACAACCAGAGATAACCTACAGGCTCAAAAAATTGGGGTAGGGGTATGACTAATTTAATTCAAAATTAGACAATTTTTCTATATTGCATACTGTCAAAATGAATTTTGTGTTCAAGTCAATCCCATCCACACTATACCCACTGCTTCACATTATTCAGCAAAAAAACCAGATCCCTGTTGGCAGTTTCAGAATCAATCTAACCACATTGGTATTCTTTAGGAACAAGTTAAATACAGAAGTTCTTCAGGAACTTCTATATTTCCACATTAGAGTAAATCCACACATTTAAAAAAGAAAAAAGTATGTTAACATTTATTCCACAATAACCCATTTGAATAAAGTATAAGTACCTGTCACAAGAAGGGCTACAAAATAAACCTATTGTAATATCTATATGATAATCAATGAACTACTTCTCCATCAATTTCCCTGGGTGCCACATGCATTTTCCAGGTAATGAAGTGGAATACAGAACATTATGGTTGATGGGAGCAGGATGCAGGTGTAGTTAAGATCTGCATAAATCTTTTTTGAATAGGTTATTCTCATCTAAAACTTCATAAGATTATATCTTGATAACACTTTTCTAGAAAAAATGCCTGCACTTCTCCAATCATCAAATTTTGCAATACTAGCCCCTTGCTAATACAACAAATATTCAGACAAATCTTTACTTCCAGACACTGGACAAAGTCCATATGATGACTCAATAATCTAAGGAAAGTGTTCCTTATTCCATTCTGACATCACATATGTCAGCAGTATAGTGAGAAAGCCCCAAATGCCCTGGTTGCTACAAGGCAAGACTTTATTAATAGAAAACCACATTTCTAATGATGGATTTTTTCATAAATAGGATTGTTTGGAGAGAAAAGAGGAAAATTCCATTCTAAGCATGATTAACTAGAGAATATGACTTAATGTAAATGGACTATCATATTAAATACCAGTATGTCTGAAGGACAAATGCTGCTGCATTAGTAGCATGGAAACATTTAGCTACTTCATTAAAATCAGGGTCTTTTGTATGCTCTTGACAACTATAAATGTACTGTGTTTGTTTGACTTGTGCTTACATTTACCAATATCTAGGTAGTCAACCAACCAAGATATCACACTGGGTTAGGGAAGAATGGAGAAGGTGGGTACAAGTGGAAGTGATGAAACATTCACAAAATAGATTTCAAGCAATTATAATAATCCAGACTACAGCCCAAAATGACAAATAAGTGAAAAGTAAGCCTAAGTATTAAGAAAAATAACTCTATTTGTCCCATAAGAGGACACCCTTAGGTACTAAAGTGAAATGCTAATAATTTAGCATTGTATGCAAAACTAAAGGCACTTGTTTAACATACTTGATACTCAAATTATACAAAGAAACCTAAATTTTGTCCTAGTTTAATTCACAATGGATAAGAAACAAGTCATCTCACATGGTGTATATTAGTGAGAGGACAAGAAGATAAATAAATAGAGGGACTTCAGGACAAGATGAAAATGTGAGCACAGATTTTTTAATTCCTACACATCCTTAACTAAATCCTAAACTTTGTCAAAGAAAAAAAAGTCAACAGACTATAAAACCTGCAATGCACCATTCATTTACACTCCTAGGAAGTGCACAGCACATTCCCTTCCACTGCAAGCAGCTCCAAAGCACCCGACACGTACAGTCACACAGCACTGCCTGTGAAACTGGGGCTGGCAACGAGAACAAAGGACCACTTCAAAATGAGTAATTAATTAACAGATAAATAGGTAAATAAATTAATAACTATTTAAAACCATGCAATGAACACCAGAGTTGGAATTTATAAATGATAGTGAGTCCTTGAGAATTTTTAAGCAAGGGATTAATGGAATTTATAAAATGAGTAGGGGAAAATAATGTGAAAGATACAGTAGAGATCAAAGTAGCAAGACTCAGTGTATAATTGTATATTAGAGAAGAAATAAAAAAAGACCTAAAGGTTTTTAAGCTGAGAAGAATAGATTTCAGTATTTAAAAACGTGTAGGCTTTTGTCTCATTAAAAAAAAAAGTTACTCACGCAAACAGACACATAAGTAGGAGATAGAGTACAATTTTTCCCTGTTTGGCTTCAAATTCAAATTAGTTGTGAATAGTCAGTCTACTTCCATTATGCCAATCTGAAGCATATAACTTTAAGCATACAATGAAAGTGCCACAATCACATTTATTTTTCTCCTTTTACAGCTGAAACCCTCAGAAACTAAGTTTCTTATTAAGGTGAAATAAATAGTGGTATCTGCAGACAGAGTCTGGATCTTCCATTTTCATTATATGATGTTTGTATCTAGAAAGCAAATCTGCCAGAACATTATCAAATGTTAAAAAATAGAGCAAATATAAATTAGTTTTTAAAGGGGAATTTACATGTATGTTTTATCTGTACAAAAATTTATTCCTGAATTGTGCCTAGAATGAAATTTCCTTTGTCAGAACATACTTAAATATAACCAGAGGAGCTCACAATTTAAAGGAGCCCTATGATAAAATTTTTAAGTATTTTTTTTATTTTTAGAGAGAGAGGAAGGGAGGGAGAAAGAGAGAGAAAGAAACATTGCTGTGAGAGAGAAACATTGATCAGTTGCCTCTTGCATGCTCCCCAACTGGGAACAGAACCTGCAACCCAGGTATGTGCCCTGACAGGGAATCAAACCAGCAACCTTTTGGTTTTCAGGATGACACTGAACCAGCTGAGCTACATTGGTCGGGGCCAATACATTTTTTAATAAAAAAGAAGTTAATTAGATTTTTATTGTATTTGATTGTCATCTATTATATGTCCTTATTATGAGACCCTCCTATAAATAAAATAGGGAAATTCAAAGAGCCCTGCTCAAGCCCTTGTGAAGCAACTACTAAAGAATGTCAGTAACGTTAGAAATTAAGCAGAAACTTCAAATTGCCATAGATACAGCATTTGAGAGACATATAATATGTTACAAAGTGTTAATTTATAAAATAAATATTAAAAATTAACTCTCCTATAGGATTTTGAAGTGAGTCTTATACTAATTCAGAAAATACTCAGAAGAATACAAAAGTAGAAAAAAGTTTATCATTAATCCCATTGTAACCCTGTCAAGATGTTTGTATTTCAGTTTGTACATGATTTAGTAATATTATATTTGGAACAGTCATTTACACTCCTGAAACAAGGAACAATTGTCCAGCATAAAAGAAAGACACAGGAAACACTCCTTTCAAGTGCATGAACTCAAAGCATCCGTAAAAGAATTCCAGCTACTGCTGCTAAGTTATATCCTGAGCGACTGAAGGAAATCCAAAATGCTAAAGTTCACTTAGAACAGTTAGTGTGTTTGATTTGGCCAATCATTTCAGATGAGACAAACTGACAATCTGTTTTTTGTGCATCTGCCAATGGAGGCTATGTGTACAAACAAATGAAGGAGCCCTTATTTTGTTGTATAGGTTCTCTCAAATAAAGTATGTTATTGAAGGATGGGGGAGTGTGAAAGTGGGTGGGAGGAGAGAATGACTTGTCATAATAGGGGCTGCATCCTGTTCCAATTGCCTATCCAAAGAGATCATTGAGACTGTAGCATTTACTCTCTGGGGCTCGACCTAAGCCGGACAGGAAGCTGTTTGTAATCTGGTCCAATAGCCAAGATTATTAATTCACAACACACCTTAAGCCCTGTCACTTATGGAATCCTAATGCACTATCCTGTAGTGTACCTTCATCTCCATCCTCTCCTTCTTCATTCTCACCACCACTCAATCACAACACCCTAGACATACTCAGAGCCAAGCTACACTGAAGGCCTCTTCAGATCTATTACCCAGGCATAGTCCAGACTAGTCCTGACTTTTTCTTTTCCCCTCTCACCTTCTTGAACACTTACTTGTACTTCTGTCCCTACATTATGGTCCTTATTGTGAGGATGCTGGCTAGCAAATGTGTGCCAAGGTGTTCACAGATGAAACTGGTTGAAACTGTAGCCCACCAGGAAATTGATCTTCATTTTAACATGTGCCCTTTTGAGGTAGGTGACTTCAATCAAATAATGATGTCAATGTCAAAAATGTCATAAATACTACATGGACAGTGATCTGGGGCAAGATGGACTGCTATTCCTCTCAAATCACTCTGAAGTAGACAGGAATACATCTAAATGCAGAATCACCTTGGATTTGGGTCAGGTGAGGTGTTTTAACTTGTCACTGAATTTACTAAAATTATGCTTACTTTGAGGATTTTTTTTTTGAAATTGACAAAATTCACACAGGATATTGTACTTCAACTCTCATGCAAATGAAAAATAAGCAAAAACTCATTTATTTCTTTTTCTAATTATTTTTAAAAAATGACAAATCAAAGACACTTAATAATACTTATTTTTACAAACCTGAATAAAGTCAAATATGGTAAGAGGCAGAAGATCATCCAAAATTGCTGTATCTTTGGAAAATCTATTAAGAATCTCACCTACAATATAAAAGAAGATAAAACTTCTCAAAAAAGTAATCTTAATAAATTAATATGTGATAAATTCAGATCATAGTAGAAGCATTATAACTCAAGAATTAGCATGTAATCAGATAAATAAGATTTACAAAAATTCAGTATTCTACAAAGACTCTAAGTAATTGTTTCCCACTTTTAAACTTTTATAAAATACAAATTGCTGTTAGATTCAGGCAAAAACTAATGTCTTTAACAAAGCCCATATCAGAAATTATGTCAGGAATGGTATTCATCCTACTACAATGTCACACTTGCAAGCCTGCCTATGTTCTCATCATTCCCTGACATCTGTAGTCCACACTGTATAGCTCTCTTTCTCTGATTTTTCTCACCTTTCTGATGCACCTCTGCAAAACCCATGGCTGCTCCAGGTCCTACCTGCCCACTGCGTGGATGTCCTTTGCCATGTTCTCTCTTTCAACCCACTGGCTGGCAATCCAAACTTCAGCCTACTTTCTAGAGACCAGACTCACATTTATAAGTGATCATTTTTTTCCTTCAATAAAAGTTATACATGAAGCGGCAACTATGTGCCAGACACAATGCAAGTCACTGAGTTAGCACAAGTGAATAAACCATGATATTGCCCTTGAGGAATTCATTGTCTAGTGGGGGAGTGAAACATATAATTGAATTAAATACAACACAATACTGTACACACAGTATGATACTGAATCTTAGCATTCACACCCCAACCCCATTTGCTGCAGGATAAAATCCAAAATTCCTAGTTAAGTATTTAATGCCTTACATGATTTGGCCTTGAAAACCCCCTAGTTAATATAAGCCTCCTCTATTCAAACATTCTTTCAGCCAAATCCTTTCATTCTTTAAAAAAAAATTATTTTTAATTATAGTTGATATACAATAATATAGTAGTTTTAGGTAATTAGTGATTAAATATTTATTTATGTTACAAGGTCATCACCTCAGTAAGTCTATCACCCACCTGGCACCATACATAGTTACTGCATTATTATTGACTATATGCCCTATACTGTACTTTACTTTCCCATGGCTAATTTTATAACTAAGTCCTCTTCTTGGTTTATTCTTTAAATACATTCTACACTCTCCTACCTCCTTGTTTTACTCATTTGGTTCCCTCTGCGTATAAACCCTTTCTCCTCATTTTTATTTCTCCAAATCTATGTCTCCTTCCTGGTCCAACTCAAATGCCTCTCCTGAAGGAAACATCAATGTTTGCACCAGCTCAAATTAATCCTTTTCTCCTCTGGACACAATTCTTTAACTGCATCTTGTCAACACTTCTATGTTATATGACTATATCCATGTCTCATGCCATAGTCACTTGGCTTGTATACATATCTTATCTCTGTTTCTAGACTGTAGATTGCCAGAGGACAAGGGGATCATGCCACACTTATTTTTCTATCACTCATAGCCCTCAGCAAAAAGTATTATATGTAAGAATTATTCAATGCATACTTATTGATTTAAGTCACACTTAGCCTTTATCAATATTTCTTTCAGCATTTTAAAACATATTTGTATATCTTTCCATAAATTACCAAAAGTTCAACACTACTAGTTTATGGTATATATACTGTTCAGAAAATGGAAGTCCATCTTGGTTAAAAAAATCAATCTGGCAGTGCTTATCATATTTCAAATGGCAGTATTCTCTCAAAATACATTCACACTTCTACTTATTTAACATATTTTAGTAAGCACCTACTGTGTGTCTGTATGACTTAAGGTCATTTAATTAACAACATAGGAAAATCAGACAAGGAATCAAAGAAAATCAAGTACAGTATACATTGGCAGAAGGGCACATCTGAGAGAAACTGAAGTACACATAGAAGGCAAGGAAGCATTGTTTGCTGCTGATTATAGTAGTGTAGGCAACATAATGAGAAAAATGGACCATATACCAGGAACAGCAATGTTTTTTTACCACAAAGCACCATCCTTGCACACAGAAATTGTGGGTGAAGGTAGGGATGGGAAAGGACATCTAGATGTAAGGTCATCCTGCTGTTTCAGTTCTCATGAGCATAAATAATAAAAAAGGCAAAAAAGAGATGTTTCAGAATCATCCCACAAAGTACATTAAAGTTTGAAAAGTAAGATATATAAGAAAATAAAATGAATGATAACCATTTAAATATGAAAGAGAGAAGGTTCTGAACCATTATCTATAGTATTCAAGGGAATGAGGAGCTCTGAAACGTAAGCAGGGGAATGGAAAGGGTATCCCCTGTGGGAAAAGGGCCCCACAGAAGGAAACAATAGAGAACTGACATTTATTTCACGTTGGTCATGAAACAGGCAAGAAGATTTCACAATGATCCTCTGAGGTTACCACTTTACTGGTGCAAAGGCAAGGCTCAGGCTCAGGAGAGCAACTTGCCATGATCATCACTCATATAGGGACAAGCCAGGACTAAACAATTACTGTGCTGTTTCCATTATGGCTCATTGCCCATTTCTGACTGCTGGCAACTTTGACAAATCCTCTATCTTATTTGGGTCTCCGTTTTTCCATTAAAAAAATGAAATCACTGAATCAAGTAAATATGACATTCCCTTTTAGGACTAAAATTTCCTAGCCCTAAAACAGAGGGTGGTGATGGGTATATACAAATCAGTCAAGGCTTTAGTGGCCCAAAAGGGCTTCAGAATAAATATAAAGATCTTCCTGTGAACTAACAATAAAATGTCGTTAGCCAAAAAAAAATCCATGGATATTTCTTATTTTGAGATTTGTGGATACAAATTACTCTAAAAATCAATCTTGAACTTATTTTTTGCTTTCTGATCTGTGTCTCCCTTCTCTCCCTTGCCTATGGGTTCTTCCAGGGCAAGAACTGTATCTCATTCATCGTTTCATTCCAGACCCTGACTTTAGTGCCACACAAAGGAAGTGCTCAACAGATTGCTGTAGGAATAAAACATGGGGAACTCCTTATTCAACTCTAAATGTGAATTTGTCTAAAGGAGAATCAATTAAATTGATTACTTTCAATGTATCTTATTGCCCTTAGTTTTTTAAATCTTTGGCCCATTTATTTCACTATTCTTACTATCTGTGACTTAATTTTAGTGAAGTATAACTGACAAATAAAATTGTAAGGTATTTCAAGTGTACAACATAGTGGTTTGATATATGTATACATTGTGAAAAGGTTCCTTCCATTGAATTACATATCCATCACCTCTTATTTGTTTCATTCTCTCAGTAAATTTCAATTATACAATTGTTACCAGTTATAGTCAAGTTATACATTAAATCCTCATGCCTTATTCATCTTATAACTAAAAGCTTCTGCCCTTAACTGCTATGATGGTTGGTATAAAAGTATATAAATACTTTAAAAAGACATTTGGGATTTCAACCACCACCAACCCTGCCCCCATCAAAAAACTGAAAAAAAATAATAACCTGAAACAAATTTGTATGATCACCTTTAAACAGTTATGGGAAACTAGATTATTTTAATCCATAAAAAGATTTTATCAGTATAAGAATTTTATATTTTCTTTGATTGCTTCAAATCTTCTTTTTTCAACAATACTACACATTGGCTATATACTCAAGATGCCTTGAAGAGGTTAGACCAAACATCTGAATGGAGAATAACTGACCCAGAAGGGCTTGGTGCTGCTATTGCAATGTTATGAGCACAAACTGAGCTACTCAAATTAACTGCTACAGAAATATAGAGAACAACAAATAATATTGGACAGCCTATAGGTTCCAAAAAATCTACAGCCTGTCATAGGAAGCTCAATAAAGGTGCAGATGCCTCTGTGTAAAGGTACTACTAGAAAACTAAATCACAGCCCCCCTGGATGGTGGATCAGCAGCTTCATTTTGTATCCCTAGTTAAGTACCTGCTTTTAACATGTTGAGGGTTGACATAGGTGCATGAAGAATAGAATGTAACATTTTGTGGTGTAAAATTTTCGACACTGTGATTAGAGAATGCACCAGCGGTAAACCTCCGGTGATTCCCAGAGCAAACAAAGTGTCGGCTACTCCCACGTAAATGTATAAAATATAAAAGTGGCTGGTGCTGGTGATGATCAATGCAGAGCTGCTATTTGTACTCCCAGTACTATTCACTGTGTCTTGAGGAGGTCTTCTGTAAAGCAAAGGAAATTGTTATTCAGCAACCAAACCTTCCCATTGAATTTTAAATATATTGTAAATGAAACTGAAGTTGAGTCTAAAGAAATACAATATATTTCTCTTAGCAGGGCTTATGCCTTTAACCTCAAGGACCCACTTTCAGCAGAAAGTAGATTAAACTTTTCCAGCACTGAAAAAGATAAACTTGATTTTTATTAAGTATGCAGAGAAAATTCTAATATATAATATTGTTGTAAATATTTTCACTACATCTTATGAAAATTAAACACAATGGAATTCTTTAGAAATTAGTGAAGAGCTGCAGGATCTGCACATGTTCACAATTCTAAACAAGAATTTGATTTTCCACTTCTATGATATTGTGGGGAAATGAAGCACACTGGATGTTACAATATTTACTAAGACCCAAAGAATCAATAGAAACAAAATATAATACACAACAGGACAGGGAATACTCACTCTTTAAATAGCCACAATAAAACCAAAGAAGCAGCCACCTGGAATGGAACAATCAATACACACTTAATTTTTTTCACCATATTTTCCTATTATTCCCACACCCACTTGTAATTCCACCATGACCAACATCAAAACACACACAATTTCATTTTTCTTTTCTTTCCTGGATCCAGCAGTTGCACTAATTGTTCTAAGAACCATTATTGTGGTGAGAACATGTTAAGTTAATGGAATTCAGATTTCACTGAATTAAATACTTTGTTATTTCATTCTTTAATTCAACAAGAAGTATTCATTGCCCACAGAAGAGCTACATTCATACTTAAATATTTTAAATAAACTTTATTTCTTGTAAAGTTTATTTAAATCTCAGTCAGCCTGCTGGCAGATAGCTTATCTAGCTATGCATAACCAGATAAATAATTGCATTTGTTAGGAAATGATTATGAGACTAATATCTATGAGACTAAGTAAGAGTGTCTCATAGAGTAAGATTATTGGAAGAGTAAGAGTAAGGTTGGTGGAAAAAATGAGATTAGTATTTATGAAATCAGATAAAATGTCAATAGTACAAAAGTTCAGTTTATGAATAAAGATAAGGTGCATTCAGGTTAAAACAAACACTGTTGGCACTATTTGGGCTTTCTCAGGTGGGAACTTTTGACTGAGGGGCAAATGTTTTATGCCATAGCTAAACAAAAAAAATTAATAACTATAAGTTTGTTTACTTCCTTTGATATTTAAATGATCTCTACTCTGTTCTATATCAATTTGGCTTTCTACTCTCCTAAACCCTGTGGGAAAAAAAAATCTTCTGTTGATGCCCCCACAGTTGTAATACTAGAAATGACTAACATGATACAATTTTCCCAATAATAACAAACCAAAAATTAAAACAAAAAACAAGAAATTGTGAATAAAATAATTTGAAAATGAACATAACAAAAAAATAAAGAGAAAAGAAACAAATATACTTTGTATAAATCTTGTCTTATTTAATACTCAAATTTAACTTATTCCATAGTACTATATAAAATTTATAAAGAACATTTAGTATTAATTAAGAAATTACATTATAATGTTCTATACTTGAAACAGGTATGTCTTTTTTAGTTAAATTCACATATCAGATAAGACTATAATGAGAAAAAATCTGAGACATCAATCTCGCCCTCCCACTTTTCTTCATTGTACACAAAGCCTTCATGCACCATATCTATAAAAAGAAAAACTACCCTTGTTTCCTTGAAATACAAGTAAATTCAAAATAACATGAAACTCAGCAATAATTCATGTTAAAAGTCTTTTTTCCTGGACAAATGTTTTTCTATTTCTTAAGAATAATCAATATACTCAAAAACCTAGATAAAGGTATATTTCTGAGTCACTCGTTGGTTATTATAGTCCCTCTTTATTCCAATTAAAGGGGTGTCAATAATGCTGGCATTACCAACATTCTCTAGATGTGAGTAAATCCCAGAAATAAATATTTTATATTTAATATTTACTATGAAATAACCGAAGCAGTTTTCCAACTCTAACCCCTATTATATAAAGTTTTTTCTGGCTCTTGTGGATACAGACATGGAACCTACAACCCAAACAGTTTTTATTGACTGGAACAAAAACCTTTCCAAGCACTTGGACATAACAAATTTAGCCAAAATACTTGGATCATACAGAAACAATTGAAGTAGCAAGTTCTACCACTTCATTTCCAAAATGTTTTCAGATTATAAAAGTCCCTACAGTTTATGAGAGTGACAGTCCTGGATGGCTAAAACAAAGAGGTCTTTATTTTCAGTTTTTTTCAGGGTTTCAAACATCATTCCATGTCATATAGAAAACAATACAGTATAGATTAGCATAGAAATTTAAACAATAATAGAAATGTTATATACATGTGCTGGTTCAGTATCGTTGATCACTTGATATGTAGTTAGTGTGTGTGAATGAATAAGCTAATTAAAAACTTTATTTCATTTCAATTCATTTCTCCTAACTTATATGGTCACATGTGGCTGGTGGCTAATGTATTGAAGAGTGCATGCAGAGATTATAATAGCTATTATATGGGGCCGTAGACAGGGTATTTATTATGTAAGCAAACTGTTAGGCATCAGGAATATGACAATGGCATTCTCCATGAATGATCAAGATAATGATTCATGAACTTTGAAAATGTAAGCAAGATGAAAAATAAAAACCTATATTTGGAAGTTAGGTCAGAATTAAAATTATGTAGGTAACTTATCTACATTATTAAAATAAACTGTATGTGAGTGTAGGATATCATGGTATATACATATGGAAGGAGAAGTCATGTGTTTATATTTGAAATACTTATTTGCTAAGTGAATTACTAAACATCTTAGGAGATTTGATAGATGAAAGTTAATCATGTATCTAATAAAACCCTAATAGTATGATTTTTAAAATAAGATGTAATGTAGACCTAAAGCAAGAACATATCCAAGACCCATAAGTCTTGGCCATGGAACCCTGGCCAGAATATTCACAACTAAAGAAAATAGGTTTAAAACAAAAGAAAACTGCCAGGGGCAATGTTATAAGAACTGGTTTACAAAAGGCTAAAAAATATGAATACAAGAGAACAAGGTATAATGGTCATCCAACATTTTACTGTGAAGAGCTTTAAATGGCTACAGAGAAGACACACTTTATATTTCACTATGGAATATCTGCAGAGGCCTCCAAATGTGACTAAGGTCCTTAATGCTCTTGATGTTAAACCTAGTTAATAACAGCAATCCCTTCTAGTCACAACAGATGTCTCTGCCTCTCTTCATGCCCACATCCTATCCATTTTTCATATAGTAAACAGTGAGATTTTTAGAACGTGAAAAAGATTACATCATATCCTGCCTGAAGCCTCTGAGTTTAAAGGCTTCCTATTGCATTTAAAATAAAATCCACGCTCTTTAATATAGCCAGTGGAACTGCGAATCCAGTTCTGGCCTACATTGTCTATATCACTAAATGATACTTGCTTCTCTCTCCTACCCCCAGTTACACTAGCCTCTTCTCAGTTTCCATAATTCATTAAACTCTTCAAAGAGCTTTGCATTTACCTCAGTCTTTGTATGTCTAAGTCTTCTGATCATTTGGGTGTAAGTTAATGTTTTTCTCTCAGAAAGGCCTACCTATCTACCCTCCTTTTCCCACCTTTATATTAAAGCAATTTGTATCTCTTTAAAGATTATCATGTTATATAATTATTTCCATCAAAATGTAGTTATCATCTATCTCCTCCTTCAGACTGTACTTCATAAGAGCAGAGAGAGTCATTTGTGCTTGTTCACACAGTATCCTCAGTGTCTAGCATAAAACCTGGTAAACAGTCAGCATAGAGTCAATCTAAATAAAGCAATAGATAAGAGAATACTTTAAAATATACTTACAAATGTCAACAGAGAGAAAGTATACAATAATACAGAAAACACATTGGAAGGAGCAGGTGACATGTTACATAAAGATATAGAATCAAAACCAATTTATCCTACAAGCTTTGTACATGTACAGAACTCAGAACTATCTCCCAAATCACAAAATGAAATCTGTGTTAAATGAAGACCTATTAAAACACTATAGACTGTTAAAGCCATTGTGAAAAACAGTATGGAATTTCTTCAGAAAACTAAAAATGGAGCTGCCTTTTGACCTGACAATTCCACTGCTGGGATTATGCCCTAAGAACCCTGAAACACCAATTCAAAAGAACCTATGCACCCCAATGTTAATAGCAGCACAATTTACAATAGCCAAGTGTTGGAAGTAACCTAAATGCCCATCTGTAAATGAATGGGTCAAAAAATTTACACAATGGAATACTACACAGCAGAAAGAAAGAAGGAGCTCCTACCCTTCTCAACAGCCTGGATGAAACCGGAGAGCATTATGGTAAGTGAAATAAGCCAGGCAGTGAAAGACAAATACCATATAGTATCACCTATAAGTAGAACCTAATCAACAAAAAACAAACAAGGAAGCAAAATATAAACAGAGACACTGAAATAAATACAGACTGATAGTAACCAGAGAAAAGTGGGTAGGGGGACAGGGAGAAAGAAGGGAAAGGGTCATCAAAGAACATGTATAAAGAACCCATGGACAAAGCCAACGGGGGGGAGGATTGGGGATAGGAGGTGGGGGTAGCTGGGTGGAGGGGAGGGGGGAGGGAAAATGGAGACAATTGTACTTGAAAAACAATAAAAAATTAGAAAATGAAAATAAAAAATAAAACACTATTCACACTTTGAGTTTTACCAAAGCAGTGCAGCATTATACATGTTCCTCCACATTATAAACATATGCACATTCATGTATTCCACTTGTATGTTCTGTTTTGTTCTTCACTGTAAAAAAAGTATGCAGAATTGTGCTAGCATATTGATGGAACTAAAAGAATGAATGAACTGAGCAAATTAATAGCTGAATGAATGACAGAAAATAGTATAAAGTGACACTCTGTCATGGCTTAATACATGATTTTAATGCTTCTCGGGTCAAATCATGTCCTAAAACTTAGAATCATGATAAGCAAAGCTGCCTTAAATAGATTACTGTCCATCAATAGCAGTAGAGATATTATGGGAGCATATTACATGTCCAAGCCACCTGGGGATTCCTCATTAGCAGACAGAAGAAAAGTCACAAAAGAATAGGATACAGCAGTTCTCTGACATATTTCTTTAAAAATCATAGAATGAAAGCATTAAACAGGATTTTCTTGAAACTCCATTCAACAACACTACCTTTAAGTGTAAAAGGAACCAGGAAACTGCCTTGTAATCTGTTATTTGCATTTTTTCTCTATCTAGTCAACAAAGCACTGCCAAGTAGGAACTCTAGAAAGACAAAGATAATGGACATTTTATAACCTATATCCTTGATGCTAATATCTAAGAACTTATAGAAGATACTATCTTATAGTATGAGAAAAGGTGCACAAATACAATAGTAGACTGACCCATATCAAAATGACATACTAATGATAAGTAGTAACAAATAGAACAAA